GACTTTGTATTGAAACCACTTTTGGAAATTCAAGTGCCTAAATTGTATTGCAAGGAGACATCACAAGTTATAGTTCACCCAGACGCGGCGTCCGCACAAAGCGCTCGGATAACCCAAGCTTATGTGAAGACCTGACATGAAAAGTTGGGAATAAATTTGTTTTCCAATAGTAAGATATACATATATGAAGTCACCAAATGCAAGCCGCATGGACTTTGTCGGTTTTGGGTATCAAATAAAAAATGTTGAAACCGACGTTCGTATAAAATTCCTGGACTTTGGAAAATCCTAAAAGACGAGTGGTATAAAGTAGGCCTTGCCACATTGGATAAAGTATACAAAAATTGGAAACAAAGGTGTCGAATAAAAGTTCAAAACAAGGTCTCTCACATAGAGAATACTAGAAACATCCACGGCAAGAGGACTTATCAGTAATTTATGTAAGAAATCCATCTCAGAGGACTGAAATGCCTTTGCTATTGCGGTTTTGTGTTTTTACAACTGACTCACCTGATCTCGTCCAAGCAACCGAGCGCCAAGAACTTGACCTATGATGACTCATCGGTTAATAATCGATACAATAAGTTTTACGAATTGATGCCTAACCACGTGTAAATAGAAAAAACCCTTTATCTATTAACCAAGTAATGACAGATACATACATAAACCTAGCTAATGTAACAAATCCATTCATGGAAAATGAAGAACAAATGATGTATCTAAAAAAAGAAGGATTCCTTGAGATATGTTTATTAAATTTAGCTAATAGCAAAATAATGTCGAATAAATTTATATATATAGATTTATCAAGTATTCTCATCGTAATTATTTACGTTTAGCCGGGGGAAATGGGGCATTACATAGCCAGCAACCTCGGATGCATTATTGAAGAAATTGCGTCACTCCAAGTCTTGGAGTACAAGCGAATAGGAAAATTATTGCAAGCATGATTCAACAAGAATTACTAATTAGGACGTACAAATAATTCTTGTTGTTGCAATTAAGATTTCTGTGACTATGAAATTTGCCTGTGCAAACCAAGCCATACAACAGAATCTTAACTGCGTCCTTATCTCAAAAATAAAAACAATTACGCCCACGCCCGTGGTAATTCCACACAATACAAAAACGGTAAATACTTTTCCAGCCAGATTTAACGGTAGTTCCTTGTTTTCAACTCTTGTAGTCACAACAGGAATTCTTTTCGAAAATTTTTGTCTCTGATATTCGTCTTCTAGTCTGGAAAAAATTCCAGATTGGACCAATTGCCTGCAATAAGCAGGAACTTTTGAGTTTCCTTCTCTTTTAAAAAGGAAACCAATAATCTGAGAATGCAAGGAATCGCGTCCTTCCTCAAATGGTATCCAGTCATAATTTTTCTTCAGGAAATGTATTTCTCCCGATAAGTCTGATGCTTTAGCAGCTAGGACAGTTCTACCGCAGTTAATAAGTTCTCCCTCAATTATTGAGGTTAATGCTGTTTGATTACATTGGTCAAAGGAGCAGTTAACCTTTTTCGGTTCAAATAAATGCCTTGGATTAAGAAACGAGTACATTAGGAGGGATTCTTCCGAAAGAACTTTAGGAGGGTCATAATTTAGTGAAGGGTTGAATCCATATGCGTACAAGAACTCGGTAAATGCATACTTAAGTATTCCATTACCATTCGGTTCTATTACAGTAGAAAATAAATCAAAACAGTTGATAAACGATGTTGAGTTCTTATTCGACACAATATGCGGGTACCAGTAGTCGTTATACCAATAATTAGAATTGTCCCAGTACTGACGGAATTCTCCAAAATTACTCTCCCAAAATACGCCTACTGTATTATTGACGACCTTCAGTTTCTTAAATTTATCGTATTTCTTAAAAATGTATTTATCTCCGCATATCAAATCTCGCCAGGATGTTGGGGCTGTTGCCGGTAACGGAGAGTTCAGTTCGGTTATCATTAATCCGTTGTAGCAATTTGTCAGGACCACCGTCGTTAATACCCAAGTTCCTAGAACTAAGCGGAAAAATTGTTTGCTTTCCAGTTTCTTCGGAACGAAGGCGGGTTCTTCGAAAATATTTGCCAGGATGAAATACCACGCAGAAAATGAGATATTACTTAATGACACCTTGTAAAAGAATTTATATAGTCTCATGGCTGTAACTAGGATCAATATGCAAATTAGCAGACCTAACCACTGCTGTAGAGTAGGGCATGAGATAGAAACTAAATGTGATGTATGGTTCCTTGTAGCACGATACAAATTGAAAGCCATCAAAACGAAATGGAAAATTTCTTGAATATAGCCAATCTGAATCTTCGGAGAATGATCTGAAGTGCAACAAGGCACAATAGAATCCACAAACTTGTCGGTATTTGTTATCTCCGAATAGAGTGGCGTTTGCTTTCATGACAACGATGGATGTCCAGTGATAACGTGAAAGCGGTTTGTCATTTCTCAACTTGAAAGGATTTGAATTTTGTAAGTAATTTGTTGGATGGACTTCGTCTACCTTCACTTTGTCGCTCGACCATGAGAATTGATTGTTATTCATTTGCCATATTTGTGGCGGTAATTGTAATTCGCGGTAGACAATCAGAAAATTTGTATCCAGACTTATCACGGATTTACAAATCATGTGATATACAGATTGATCTTCCAGGCCTTGCGGCATAACACATAATTCAAAATAATTAAGTAAGTAAAAAAGAATAGCAAAATTATCCATTACATCGCTTCTGTTGTATATAAGTCGAGCATGAGGAAAGAATCTGCTCATGCCGGATTTATCCAGACTGGTGATAACAAGTATGTATGCATTTGCTGATAGGACAGGCCATGTCTTGTAGATTGAGTGATCATATTGGAAGGCCGCCGCTTCATTCCAACTTGCAATATTTGGGGGGTTGAACCGTGTTTGAATGTCGTTATGCCCAGAATTGAAAAAAATGGAAAATAGCAGACTTACTTTGCATGGAAATTCTCTAATTTTTGTGACATATCTGGAGATTGGTTTTTCGATCGACGTTGTGACCACATCTCGCTGGATTATTAATAGGATCCTGCTTGGGAAATAGTACTGGTCTGGGAGTTTATTATGTTTTAATGGTTCGAAGTAGTCCGAGTTAATGCCATCGTGCACAATTTGCAGTTCGCAAGACGACAAGTTTTCTACAATCTGGGAAATTGATATGAATTGTAATGCATACGGTGTTTCAATTCTTGTAGAAAGTATGATTAAGCAAGTCCCGTAGAGAAACAATTCAAGGGTTGCGAAAAGACGCATTTTGATAAAAACTTCCGTTGCGCCACTGCAAAGTCGTCTTATCTGTGTAGTGTTTGTCGACTGGTTATATGACACGTAGACCAAAAGTCGAATTGGGCCAGTGTTCGATGACACATAACCTGATTTATAATTCACCACCAGGCTACATAAGTGTGGAGATGAGGGTAAGTTGAAGGATAGCTATGTATGTATGTAAAGTCATGCACGACAATCCCTTCATTATGTTAATGTGTCACGAAATGCTTCAAAACTCTTTTATTGCGCACACAATCCAACGTAGTTGAGGTAGACGCCGAGGGTTACATACATCGGCGGCTTAATAATTATATACTTTATTTCATCTCTGGTAATTTTAAAACCTCTCAGCACATCTTTCCATAGCCCGAACTAAGAGTAACACCAATGCATATTCCACTTAGCTCTGAATTAAATCATCCGATTACGTAGAATGAATTACGTGGAATCGATCAGTTTATTTCACCTTGATTGTATAATTTTCTGGCATTCTAAAAGAGAAGAGAATGCAACAGCAGAGAAAGCAACGCAGTGAAGATTAGCCGGTTCAAACAAAAATATTGCGTCGCATGTACATGTATGCATCACAAGTTACACAATTACTTAAAACATAAGCATGTGTATAAAAGAAATAAACCAATAGATCTTATTAGTTAGGAGTGTACAATTAAATTTATTGGACAATCGTTTTTCTCAGAAAGGAATCTAGGTCACGAGTCTATGTCCCGTGTCGCTGTACTTTAGTCTACGTGCAACAAGACACCATAGGATAAAGACCAATGTGCTTATATCTTAAAAATATATTTGGTTAGTCAAGATCTATACGTATGTAAGTAACCGTTCTCTTGTCACACAAGTGCATTATCTAAGTAATTTATCGCCTGGTTTTAGCTCAATTGCTTTCTGGACTGTAAGCTTTTATAAAATTTAGAGTAAAATCTAATCACTATAAAAATCTGTAGTTTCCCAGTAACCGGATTTTCATACCTCCCACCCGCCCTATCCTTCCCGTGTTAGAGGTACTTAACATTGGAAGATAGACCACCTCACTCTAACCTACGTAGCTATTAATAACGTACACAATATATGAACGGCCCCTAAGGCGATGCAAGCTGTCGAGACTTCAGTTTGATGAAAATAAGTATGCAATTGAAGGAAACACTAAGAGAAAATATCCATAAATTGCTCAGGATTTTCGATCTGCACGAGAAATGGACGCAAAGAAAACAAAGTGGTCTTGAAAAATAACGGACTTTCTTCCCCAAGACTCTTGGGGAAGAAAGTTCCGTTATTTTTTTTAAAAACTTCAACATAATATGTTGAAATTGGAATATTATTCCAATCGAGCGTCGGGACAAAATATATACGTGGGGCTTTTTTAAGCACACATAGATCGCAATGAACCCTTTTGGGCCACGGACCCTGTGACGTGATGGTACATCTCTGAATAATTTTAATGATATCTATGGCTGTGAACAGAAAGGCCTTCACATACATTGTATTTATGGAACCAGTAGCTAAGTAGTAACAATAAAACACCTGTATGCAAATGTGCTGTATTTGTTCCTCGTATCAATTGTGTCTGCAAGTATGAAATTAAAATGAGGTGGCCTATACTTTCAATATTCACATGTGTGCGTGCAAGGGAATATGAGACAGAAAGTAATCAAGGAAGATATTTAGAGAAAATATTTACGTAAAAAGGATCTCCACCTACGTATGTATTTACATCAACACAATTTTCTATCTAAATATGTCATGGAACGATTCACTTAATTCGTTGGGATAACTTGATCTCAATACGTGTTGCTGATAGATGTATGTGTAAGTAAATATTTAATACAAATTCATTTCAAAGCTTGTGAATACATACGTACATATTTATTCATTTTATTGTCTCATATTTTCTGTTTCTAGGCCAATTTTAGCACGTGCGGATTTAATAGATTTCCAGTCATTTCAACACACAGATATAAAATCAACTTTCGCACGCATTCGAGACAATCCCACCGACAATCCTAAGATTCCATACGATTTTATTTCATCCCAATATCGCAGAATTATAATAAACTACACAAAAACCTACAAATTGCCTGCAAATTCGGGTACTGCATCCACAACATCCAAAAAGCAGGTCTGACATTCACCCGGTTAAAGAAAGACTATTGTTTAAACTCGTTTTGATTTTCGTCGCCACTTATTTGAGAAATAAACTAGTTTTCTAATTAACTTTAACCCATATTTCAGAATCCAGACGTTCCCGTGAACAATATGAAGATTGCCCTAGTTCTTCTCTCGGCTGCCTTCGTATCGGCCAACGACATTCCTCTCGGGATCCCGGTCACAATTACCAACCATTTCACTGGATTTAGCTTATCCAGCCGGATAGAATCACTAATTCTACTTGCTGATGTTAACGATAAGTCGACTCTCTACGCATGGGTGGTCAATAAGGATGGCACGATATCCACATACGACAACGCTGCCACTGGAGGCCACCCACGTTGCATTTCGGGTAGGACCAAAGGACACTTTGCCCTTGTTGAAGGCTGCAAGGCTTCGGATTTTGGGCACAGGTGGCGTGTCAAATCAGTTGAATCCACCTTCATGTTTATAAATGATGGGTCAAACTCGTCCCTAACTAACGAGATAGGTTTCTCCGTTCTCTCGGAGGAAGTATCAGGAGCAGAAACGCAGCAGTGGAAAGTCCAACCGTACGTTGTGTAGACAAATGCCAGAAAAGTAAATTGATGTCCTAGGCATTAAAAAGTTTTTTTTTCAATATCTATTTTACTTGGTTAAATTAAATAGGTATTTGAGAGTAGATATTGGTGTAGCCTCTAATTTTTTTTGATAATCACTCATTAGAGTTGGATACATAAATAAATGTCGAAATTGGTAGTATTTGTTGAAGTAGATCCCTATGTATATTTATTTTGCGCTTACGTACACATATGGAACTTTGATTTCCACCATGAGAGCAATTTTAAAACTTGGATATCGTAAAGTTGACCCAATATTTTTACAGCAGCGATGCTACGCTAAAAATTTCGGGCACCCAGCTGCACGGCAACGTAGATCTGTAAAAGATTACGGCCGATGGCTTATACATACGTTAAGGTGGGCGTGCTATATTTTTGTTATGTCCAATAAAATAGTTAAAATAGCCAAAACCTCCAATAGTATATTTCGAACGGATACATTAAATATTTGTTGTATCCACCAGTGTCAAAGTGAAAACTTTGAACAATGTTGTTACAAATAAAAATATAAACGATGAAATACAATAAAGTTTATAGTATAAACTGAATTAGCTATGTATTATCCTGACCTGCCCAAACAATAAATTTTTAAATGGTAACTGATATATGTGTGGCTTGGTAGAGCATTCCACACCAAGAAAAGTACAAATATATATATTTGTACGTCAGTAAAAATGTCCCATAATTTCGGTCCTCAGATAACTTGATTAACTAATTCATTCTTCCCAGTAATACACAATTAGTGGTTGAAATTGTGGATTCGAATCCTATGAATGAATAAAATTTACTGGATAACATTATTTGTACAATTTATCTTTGTGAAATTAATACTCTGGGGTTCTATGTAAACTCTCGTATCGAAACGTTCGATACGAGTGATTAGGGGCTGGTAAATCCGACCCGGTCGATCCCATCATCCCGATCGGATGCAAATTCTTAATCATATAATCTGATCGGATCGCATTGAAATGATTTATCCGAGCGGGAAAATCCGTAGCTAATCCAGGATATCCGGTCTGATACACTCAAAATAATGTGGTAACAAAATCACCAAAAATATTATTACAACATGACGGTAATTACGTCGAATACCCGTATGGTAAGAAATTCGTTACAAAAAATATTACCAGAGTTGGTAAGAAATGCATTAAATACCATTGTAATAAAGTGTAAAGCTGAAGGTAATAAAATTATTAAAAAATCGATACTAGGTTGTAAAAGCCTATACTGAACTGTAAAAAAGTGAGCATCATCACTTAAAAGTTCAGGTTAACTTGAATAAACCGTTGCAACGAAATGTAAAAAAGTAGCGAAGCATCTCACAATACCCCAAACTCTGCGAAATTGAAAAATGCATAAAAACGAAAAACATTTTTTTCTGCCCACACCAACTAGTGGGGGTGCCCATTCTCGAACTTAACCTGTGGGACTAGTATGAGAACAAGATGCAAAAATCAGAAATTGAAAATCTTTAACCCCTGCGTTGCCGAGGGTGCTAGATTTGTAGACTGACGTTTGTTATTTTAAATATCTTTTTAACTGTGACAATGAAAGCTCTGAAACTTTTTGTAATCCTCAATCAACTATCTCTTAACCAAATAATGATGATTATAGCAATACGGGATCAATTGTCTTCACACAGAAATTTTTTTAAAAATAAAAACGTGCTATCTGCAATGTTAAATTAAAATCTTGGGCGTTCGTAACCAAAGTGCTACATTTGTAGTCCATGACGTCATCCTATGAAATTAAGGCCCATACGCATGTCCCCACTTGATGAAGTTCGATAATCAGTAATAGATTAAGTGCGAACGTCTACGTATCTGACTTCGTATTTTTTAACAAGGTTGACTTGACTTTTTCAACTTTAAATTTGATTTCTAATGCTTAGACTACCACATAAAATTTTGTGAAATAAACTGACATAAGTATGAGCCTTAATGGAGGAGGAGTTACGTAGCTACAAATGTAGTCCCTTGGTTTCAAGCGATTGAAAATACACTTGGTTATGCTAGGGTTAAGAAAATGTAGCTTAATTGGCAATTTCGGGATAATTTGGAGAAATTTTTGTAAGAAAAAAACCTCAAACCTTTTTAAACCAATTACTTAATAAGTTTGGGTAGTAATGGTTATAGTTAATTAACTGGTAATTTGTAATTAATTGGTTAATTTATGGTATTTATTTAATAGAGTAACTAATCACTTAATTATTTTTCTCCTTCATTCCAGCCTTCTCTTTCGCCCGTCAATCCAAGAGTCACGATTTCCTCTCCCTCTTCGCCCTCACCTCCGACGGCTCTCTTTACGGGTGGGGTTACAATTCGGGCGGAAATCTCGGTCTCGGTTACGCCTCCGATGACCCTATGCCCCCAACTAGAATCCCTTTCCCACCCACCATCAAACCCGTCGCCATCGCCATCGGGGACGGTCACACTTTGACCTTAACAAAGGACGGCAAGGTGTTCGCCTTCGGAAGAAATTCCCACGGTCAGATCGGCAACGGATCGACGAAGGACCAATTTCAAGTGATCGAAGTGCGCATGACCATCACGCTCGATGCACGGCGCCAAATTCAAATTGTCCAAATTTCCTGCGGGTCCTGTCACTCTGTCGCACTGTCAGACGACGGGTCAGTTTACAGCTGGGGAGCAAATGACAAAGGTCAACTCGGCGAAGGGTCAAAAATCGAGAATAATCCGACCCCGAAAAGAATCCTGTTGGTTGCCAAGGTAACGAAAATCTCGTGCGGAAAACATCACACGTTGGCGATGACGGAGCGTGGCGAAATTTACGCGTGGGGGTCAAACCATCACGGTCAGTTGGGGACAGGGTCGTCAAGCAAGAGTCGAATCCCGGTCAAAATAGATGTCGACGGGAGAATCCGCGACATTTTGGCGTTGAATTCAATTAGCGCGTGCAAATTTGAAAAGAGTGGCGGGGGAGGGGATATAGTCGCAATGTGGGGGAAATTGCCAGAACCGGCGGGGAAAATGGTGGACGTCCCGTGGGAAACGTTGTTGGGGGAGGGGGGAGGTAGGCGACGTTTTCTCGAGCTGGGACACTGATCCGGTGACCCCAGGGGTACTGAAGGGAGGAGAAGGAAATTCTGCGGTAAATTCAAATTTGATGAAGTGGAACGCTCTGAAATGCGTAGATTACGAGGAGATGCCCGCACTCAAGTTGGCGTTCGTTTATGGCTCGGGCTTCGAGCAGTCGGCTATTTTGATCAGCAGGGATGAGGACGACGTCTACTTTGTGGGGCGGAGTGTCCACGGGAGTCTGGGGAGTGGGGCCAGCACAGAATTTGAGACGAGGGTGCCCATCAAAAATGTCAATTTGAGTGGAAAAGGGATCTTTTGTAAGTAAAGATTTTTTTTCAAAGAAAAATATTCGCAAATTTATTTCTGAAAAATTATTTAATTCCATTTTTTGCACAATTATTTTTCCAAATATATATTTTTTTGCAAGAAACAGATTTGTTGATATTTTTGCACATTTATTTTTGCAACTTCCCTAAATTTTCCTTCTCATTTTTTTGCAGGGCTCGACTACGGTCTCGACGTGGCTGGTGGGTGCACGTGTCTATTTGCTCTGACCACTTCCGGTTGCATCTACTCCCGGGGGTACAATGACTTTGGGGAGCTAGGTCAGGGCTTCTCCTCCCTAGAGCCGGGCGTTCCGAACAAAATCGACATGTTTGGCGACACCATAAAAATTGCGCAGATCGCGTGTGGCTCCGATCACGCGATGGCGATTTCCGAGGAGGGACATCTCTACGCCTGGGGCTACAACTTTTACGGACAACTGGGGACGGGATGTTTAGATGATCACGTCCCCACGCCAGAGAGAGTGACCGCGTTCAGGTCAAAGGGCACGGAAATTGTGTCCGTGGCAGCGGGGATGTTCCATTCCGTGGCGGTGACGGGAGATGGACATGTAAGTTGGGAAATAAATATTTAGGATTTGCTAATTTTGTGAAAATGTAGCAAATATTTTGTAATTACCATTTAGCACACAATATTTGCAATGCAATTTGCAAGTTTGGAAATAATATGTGCACAAATTTGTGCAGAATTGCCAATATTTTAAGCCACATGTAGAAATTATGTTGCAAATATTTTGCTCAAAATTGTAACTGTTGCAAATATTTATTACCTGGTAAGATTTGAAATCGTAAATATGTATTTGGTGCTAAATTGAAATTCCGTTGCAAACATTTCGTACAACAAAATAATTTCGTGCAAATCTAACTCTTTACTTTCTCTCTTCCAGGTTTACGCCTGGGGTCAAAACGACAAATCCCAGCTCGGCGGTGGATGTTCTGAACCATACTCTGCCACCCCGACACTCGTCCCCTTTCGCGTGTCGAATTCTCCCATTTCGCGCGTCGCCTGCGGTCCCGACTCCACCCTCGCGCTCTCGACGGATGGAAAACTCTACTTTTTTGGCCACTGCCCCCACACCCCGGAAGAACCGTCGGAATCCTCCTCCGACAGAAAAGGTCACCCATTCCAGCTTTGCACCGATCTCGACCCCTTGGATTCAATCGTCGACATGGGCGCGAAACACTGGGCGACGATGTACGCGTGTGGGACAGAAAGCGGGAAAATCTACGTCTGGGGAAAATTGCGCGGGGGGCGGAAGAAAGAACTTTTGCGCGAGGAACCACGCGCCGTCTTGGTGAACGACGTCTTTTCTTTTTTCTCCAATCCGCCCGGAATGATCAGACCGATGGCGTTGGTGGAGTGAAATTATTTGGATGAAACTTTTTGTGTAAAATTGATCGAAAATTTTGATTTGTGAAGAAATGACTGTAATTTATGTGTTGAGTATTTTTAGTCAGTTATTTTTTTGGTTGTACTTATGTAAGGAATGAAATGTGTGTTGGTTGGTTGGTGATGTGATTGTTAATTTTTATACCTGTGATGTAATCATGTGACAATGTAATGAACTCTTGTTGGAATTAAATGTTGCCAAAAAAATGGAAATTTTTTCAATAATGATGAAAATGTTTTTTTTTTTAAACGGTGTAATATTTTATTGTCTGCATCCAAGTCGGGTTATGCGATTTCGTAATAATAGAAATTGTATTTAGGGACAGACAAAGTTTATGTATCTACATGTTTAGTTCAGGCTAGAAATTTTTGCAATTTTCCAACTAACAACTTTGACGTTAATTTTTCTAGAAAACTTACATTTTCCTGATAATGAAACATCTAAGTTCTTTTACATTTACTCATGCCTACAAAATCTAGCTAGTTAAATATTTTAGATAAATTTGAGCAAATATTTTCTTAGAATATTTAACACTCCTCAGTAGAGGAATCGTCTTCTTCCTCCTCCTCCTCAGAAGATTCGGGTAACTTGACCTTTCTCGACCTTGTGACCCTACCCTTATTTTTTCTCCGTGTCTCCACCCTCTCCACCCATGCTTTCCCTTTATGTGCAGCCTTAACGTTGCCATGGTAACGAATGCTTTTCCACATTGGGAGCACGTGTGTGGCCTTTCTTGGGTGTGGCTTTGGAGCACGTGTTTCTTCAAAAGGCCCGGGAACTGGTAGGATTTTTCACACTGGGAACATTTCCACGGAGTGGGGGCGACATAGTTGGGGGTGTGGACTCGATTGACGTGCTCCCTCATGTGGGCCCTTGTTATGAAGTTGTCCTCGCAGTGGGGGCACGAGTGGGGGCGCGGGTCGTCGGTGTGGGATTTCAGGTGAAGATGCAATTCTTCCCTACAGGGAAAGGTAGCGGCACATTTCTAAATTCAAATAAGAGATGAAATGTTAGTATGTGTAAAATAATGTATGGACGCCCTCGTCGCATAAGGATAAAATATTTCCATCTTACGTAGCATCTCTTAATTCCCATATGCTTCTTCATCCTGTGTTCTCGTAACGCGGCACGGGACATGAAACTTCCTCCACTGAAAAAATTGAAAAGTTTTATTTTTTATGCAAAAAATTCCACATCTGAAGATAAAATTACCACTCGTCGCAAATCACTGGATCTGCGCCGTGTTCCTTGATGCGGTGCCTTTCCAACGCAGTTTGATGCCCAAACGTTGCCTCACACATTTTACACCTGTGCCGTCTCGGGTTGTCGTGACGCTTAAGGTGGGACTTAAGACAGCGCACGGTGTAGAAGTCCTTGCCACAAATATGACACACGTGTTCGCGCACGTGGGTGTGTTCGCGAGCAACGTGACCGAGATAGAGGTCCCGTCTAGGGAAGGTTTTACCACAGGGGATGCACTTCTTGAGGCATTGGGGCTCCCTGGGGCACTGTATTTTAGAAAGGGTAAAAATTACTTAAGTTATTTTTTTCACAATGGAATTTGGCATAAGTTTTGTTTGGTGTAAATCAATTTGCAGTAGTCTTGTCACCCAGACATAAATAATTATATCAAAGAAATGCAAAAATTATTGCAAATTGTCCTCCTACAAAAAAAAATTACGCAATTTTTTAACCACCCACCTTCACCTTCGGATTTTCTGCGGCTTCCTCCTGCCTCAACTTTTTCAGATATCTGTAGACAGAATTTCTATGGACTCCTTCCTCCTTGAACGCTTTCCACGTTAGGTTGACATCTCTCTGGGCCGTCGTTTTGTAGAAATTGATCACCCTTTCAGACATCCTGGAAGGGTCGGTGTTTATGTAGGCGCGATCATCAGGATGGATCTCTCTCCCGTGGGCGTTTCTCGCCTTGTAGGTCGGAAACGTTTCCGAACACTCTGGCGTCAAACAGGGGATGAGGTGTTGGCGTGCCGTGTGAGAGGATAACTTGAAAGCGGTGGAGAATATTAAGGAACAAGAAGGACATTTGTGGGGGTGTGGGACTATTTTGCCATGTTCCTCCAATTGTTGACCTTGACGAGGCGAAGGGTCTGAAGAAAGAGGGGCTGGGGCATCTTGGAGGAGGGAGGAGCTACGTGGTGACCCGACCTCCTCTTTCCCCGTTGTCGCAGAGGGGGTGGATATCCGGCTGGATTTTGGAGGGGAGGTAGTGATCCGCTCTAAGGACACGGTCAGCGTTCTGGTACGTTTGGCTTTGGTGTGGATTTCGAGTCGTGGAAGAGAATCGTCATTATTTTCTATGGGTCGTTTTCTTCCCCTAGAAAAAAAAATTATTATAAAACCAGTCACAAAAAAATAACCTCAAAATTTAATAAATTAACATGTTAAAAAATCTAAACACTACTTTCCACCTCAACGACATCATTTCTCGAGATGACAGAAGTTTCCTGTTCTCTGGTGAATGTGAAACCACCTCATCTTTGTCGCCATGGTTACCATCATCTTTTAAAGAATGTATCTTCTCTTTCTCTTCATTATTTTCTTTAGTGGGCGAGGGCGAGCAGGAGTTATAATACTTGTCACAGATTTCGTCACCTCCTCCAACGATCACTTCGACCTCGTAACCCGGTTCAACTTTGACCAGTTCTTCGTCCACTTCTTCCACCACCACATCGTCACTTTGTTTCTCCCTGTCGTCGTCACCATCACCACCTGTTCATAAATCCAGAGCTAATTATTAATTAAATATTTACATTTTACAACAAATTAATTAAATAGAAAATTGCACTCAACCCATCATCATTTTCTGGAGGAGAATTGTCCTCAATTTATGAACCTTGTCGTCGTCGTCGTCGTGATCCCCTAACGATGGCGAATTTGATGCCAACATTTCCTGAATTTGAGCAATTTTCATCCCAATCTGTTTCTCGAGGAGAGATATTAGAGCGCGAACTTGTTCCATCTCATTTATCATGGGGGCGCAAACGGGACAAAGGTCACAACAGGTGGGGTCATCCTCTTGGTCAAATGGTGGTGTAATCCTCTTTCCAGAAAGTAACGATGACAACAATAATTCCGACAGGGTTAAAATTTTTATTTTTCTGGTCTCCGCTTTCTTATCGTGACTTCTTGCCGAAGACGACGAAGGGGTGGCAGTGGGGTCGATGACCTTCAAGCAGAAGAAGCACACCTCCCTCGACATGATGAGAATGACCTGGAATACAATTTTTAATTTCAAGTTTAATTACATTTTTAACTATGAATAAGTTTCTTCAAAAAGTAAACATTTCCTTACAAAAAAAGGCCCGATTTTTACGAATAATCTCCTTCTCCTAAATACTTGTAAGTAACTTGTTCTCACAACATAATTTAATGAGGTAGCAGTTGGGCAAATTACCTGATGGCTACAATTAAAATAATAATTCTTTTTTTTTCTTCCAAGTTTTTTTTACGGAGCTGGTTGTACATAGTTGACTTAAATTCGTGCCAATGTGAAATCCGTCTCAAAAATGTGAGAAAATTACTTGGTCAAGGAGACAAAGAGAAATGCATGCCAATGAAAATCAGGTTACATTATTAATATAAACTGGTTAAGATTATAACCGGAAAGTTAATTGATGTATGGCAGTACCGCCAAATATGACGGTTACACATTTATTACCGTGCAGTTATAATTTTGTCGCTACTGCTAACTAATTTGTAACCCATTTAAATTTATAACAAAAATCATACCGTCAGTATGAATTTTTTTTACCAAGTCAGTAACTAGCCTAACCAGATTCATAACAGGGTCGATACCAATTCTTCATGTTGTGGTTATAATCACAACCGTAACTTTTCCTTGGTGAAATGACGGTTGAAAATCTAGAAATTAACCGTTTCAGGAGGAATCCATACGTATATGTACTCTATTATTAGTCGTACGTCGTCTGTACGCAGGGTTCGGAATATCTCTGTGTTTTATTCAAAGATTTATCGACCCATGGACTTTCTTGGATTTTACGCAACATAATCATATGCATAAGTTTCCTACCCATGACAGGCGAGTAATTGAAATTATGCAAATGTATAACAATTACATATGGGAAAATTTTGTCAGGCAATGCCTTTTAAGTAACTACAATTGTGTACTAGTAGTAAGATTCTGCTCCTTCGTGCGTACCTTGTGAACTTTAAAGTATGAACTATCCACAACTTGATAAATTGTGAATATCAATTTAAAATACTTTTGATAGGATAAATTTTGCTTAAATTGCAGTTAACGAGGTTATACACAAGTACGCACATATAGTGATTTAGGTTACGACTTAGCAATAATTATGTAAAATATGCGTGATATTTGAATGAGGAAAAGGTGCGCATATTTATTTTCACATCAACAACTTTACTTCTTCACTTATCGCATGGTCGACGCTTCAAAAAATTCCTATTATGGACAAGCAACACTTCAGAAGTACGTAATATCCCAAAAATTCCCAAAAAAATTCGCCTTAACTTTATAAAGTTTTAAATAGTGTCATAAGTTTTAGCGTAATGTTTGATCTTCGCGTATCAGTTGTCCGATTTCTGATATTTTTCTTTCAATCTGTTTTTCATCAAATTTCTCGCAAAATTTGTGGTCCCCCAAAAAGAAGAGAGGATGACGCGAGAGGTAAAGTTGTCGTGGTTACGGGTGCGAATGCTGGGTAAGTGAGAAAAAATGAGTTTGTTTTTAATTTTTTGTTGATCATTGTGGAACTTATTTAATTGGTCGATCAAGGCTTGGAAAATGCGTAGCCATGGAGATGGCAAAAAGGGGTGCTGTTGTAATTATGAGTAAGCAAAATATTTAAATGTACAGTGTGGTCAAGAATTATGGGGATAAGAAGATTATTTTTTACCAAAAGGAATTTAAATATTACGGAAAACATTAAGCTTTACATACATACTCAAATGTAATTTCCTTACTAAAAAAACATTATCTAGTTTTACCTGCATTCTGATAATTAATAATTATTATAATAATTACAGTTATTATAATAACTGTTGGTGAACAGTAAGTTCCATATTTCCCTTGACCACTCTACATTTACGTAGGAAGAATATCTTATGGAAACTATTTACTTGGTTTTCAGCATGTCGAGATGTAAACAAGGGAATCCAGGCTCAAAATGAGATTCAAAGCTCGACTGGTTCTGACAAAATAGTGTGTAAATAATAATTATTTATGCCGTTTTACATTGATATCGATTTCATTATTTAATTTTAAAAAATTCTTTGTACAGACTTTGGTCGAATTAAATTTAGCCGATATCTCATCCGTGAAGCGATGTGCAAATCAAATTTCTTCAAGACATTCCAAAGTTGACATTCTAATAAATAATGCTGGAATTGCTCTTAACTCTCCATCGACACAATTAACCAAGGAAGGAAATGAGTTACATTTTGCGACAAATCATTTAGGTCACTTTCTCCTAACTAAGCTGCTTCTGGATAGAATAAAAAATTCTGAGGCCGGCAGGTTAGGAAATTATTTAGTCTAAATAATGCGATTGTGAATATGTATAATCTGGGAAGGTCGGAATAATTTATACACTTTATGCAATCCGGTTACATTTATAACCACTTGGAGTTGGAGTAAATGTGCATACTTTATATAATCCGGTTACATTGATGACCGGAAACTGGAAATATTTGTAAACATGATGCTATATAAGGTTATGAATTTGTCACCAACTGGTTATAAATGTACCTGCCGCCCGATTTAGGTAAGTTTTTTTTAAACAGTCGCCTAACAAATAATACGGTAGAGTAATATTTATATTTTCAGTTTCTGGTTGTAGTCATAATCACCCGGATTGCAGGAAATTATTTAATCGTCAAATATTTTATAAAAAATTCTACCAATTCTTTTTCAGAATCGTGAACGTTTCCAGTTCAGGATTTATCATGGCAAATTTTTCCATAAAAGATTTACGCATGTCAAAGTTGGGCCTGGGACTTGGAACTTTTGCACCATACTGTAACTCGAAACTTGCCAATGTTTTATTTACTAAAGAACTCTCTAAACGACTGGCTGACACGCGTGTGAAAACTTTCTCCGTCTGTCCTGGACTGGTAAACACGAATCTTGCAAATGGTTACTACGCCAATGAGAACCTTCAGCATTACCTTATTAAAGGTTCACTGGGATGTATTGGATTATCTGGCGAAGATGTAATAACTTCCCCGTAGTTTTTTTATTAATATATGAACAGAGTGGTCCAGAAAGTATGCGACAAGTCGATGTGCTTACACCACTTTGTGCAAGTAATGCACATTCTGAACGTGTGGTGATGCTTCACTTCTTAGTAATTTGTGAAGCATAAACACACATTAAAGTTAATCTGCACTCAATATTTAAATTTTTTGTTGGACAGGGGGCCGACGGAATTTTACATTGCGCATTAGCCAAAGGAATTGAGGACACGTCGGGGGAAATGTATCGTTTCGGAAGATTAATGAATTTCGATCAAGAATTGACTTCAGTTTGTGGCATGCCAACAGATTCTGTAGCAGAAAAATTATGGCAGAAGAGTGAGAAACTGTTAGATTTAAAACAATTGCATTGAATAAATCCGTACCATAATTTGTCATCACATGGCAAAAAATGTCTTCTACGAAATTCATATTTAGCACAATTTTAATTATCATATTATAATCTGATAAATAATTTCAATTATTGTTACCACTTTGCTTGGTTTACAAATGCAGAGTTGGGTTTTTGATCGTTTTTTTTAATGTTTTCTAAATTATGGGAAAATGTACTCACTCATGCAACACGTACTTAATTTCCATCAAATCCAGCTCCACATAGAACATGACTTTGATACAATAGGCACATTCAATCAAAACAGTTTGAATTTTGCATTTCAAGTCGTGCAAAAAACAATTACGAAATAAACTTCCATCTGGGAAGAAGTCCAGTGATTTTCCAGCAAAGTTTTTTATGTGCAAAAATTAGCTTTATCTCGAAAGTAAGTTTGCAAATTGCACATGTTGGCATGATCAATTGGCGAAGGCTATCATCAGTGTGCTAAATAAGGTAGGTGTATAATCTTACTTATAAACATGAAATTACATCATGAATAAATATGGACATTCTCATCAACCAGGAATCTGCATATAATCAAAACATCATAACCAGTTTTTGCAATTATGTAGCTTTTTTAATCTACTCTGATATTTATTCATACATGAATATATGTTGAGTACAACATAAATTCTTCACTAGAAACAAAACACATGTTAAAACATATTTGATTCCAGTTGAAATTAATAAATTTTCTTAGATTTCATTTTTCCTTTTTCTACCTGAAATTATCAACGTATTAAATTGTGAAATGTTTGATCTTCACTTGCCATTGTGGCGAGTTCTTGTATTTTATGGCTATGGTGTTTTCCATCAGATTTGTCGCAAAATTCGTGGACTTCCTGAAAGACAGGAGGAAGATGTGAGAAATAAAGTTGTCGTCATTACTGGAGCTATTATGGGGTAATTTGAGAAATAAAAGGAATCCTAAAATTAAAGTTGTCTAATGTTTTTTGCAATTTTTGTTCATATTTTTTAAGGATGGGTAAATTCCTGGCATTGGAGTTGGCGAAAAGAGGAGCTGTTGTAATTATGAGTAAGGATAATGTATAAAAGGTGTGAAGAATATTTAAGGTTTTCTATACTTTTGTAGAAAATAATTTAAATTGTCTCCATGGTTTTATAACTAATTTTTTTTCTAACTCTTTTTCTATTAACTTGTACTTATCTCTCTCTTTGT